CGGTGCCTGTGAATGTACCTGTGAAGGTGACTGAAGCGTGCCCTGTAACAATGCCTGTGAATGTACCCGTAAAGGTGCCTGAGCCGTGCCCTGTAACAATGCCTGTGAATGTACCCGTAAAGGTAACTCAGCCGTGCCCTGTAACAATGCCTGTGAATGTACCCGTAAAGGTGCCTGAGCCGTCCCCTATAACAATGCCTGTGAATGGATCTGTGAAGATGACTCAGCCGTGCCCTGTGATGGTTCCCGTGCCCGTTCCCGTGACTGTGCCTGTGCCTGTCCCATCCAAAGCCCCCACAACTGGTGCCAAAGGAGAAGGGCACCACCATCGCCGTCATTCACATAAGAAATGAGGGTGGGCTTATCGTTGTATGGGTTTACCTAGGGAGGTGTGTTCAGCTTGCTTACCGACACTTGAGGGTTGGAGGGGGGCATTTAAGGAGTGAGTAACATGAAAACTGAAAAGGTATTTTCCAGCAGCTCTTTTAGGGTGCGTGGTTCTAGGGAGCTTCATAGGAAAAGGACTGTTCTTTATTTTTTTTGTGGCATTTTGTTGTGTTTGTCTTCATCGTTTTATTTGTTCATCTATAGATGAGGGTAAGTAATGGGTCTCATTATGGGATAGCATTTTATGTCACATTTAGAGTTTTTTTTGAGTGCCATTTTAATCCCTTCGATAGGGCTTCAGATTAAATGGTTCTGAAAAAATACACATCCCCACATTTTATATTTGCATATACTATTTTTCATTCGTCTCGGTTATTGCTTTGGGTTCTCTCGAGGCAGCTTACTTCCCTCCCTGGTTTCAAAAGCTTCTGACTTGCATTTATATGAGTATTGATATTCCTTTTCTTTTTATATGTGCTCTTTCTGTATTCATCTAACTTTTCCATTTTTAAATTTTATTAAGATGAATTAATAGAAAAAATAAACCAAATAATATTTAGAGCCAAGTGAGTGCTGCCCATCACGTTTTTAATACACAAAGGGACATTTAGTTGACGCGAGTCGATACGTTATAGAGGCTAATCGATCCAGAACCAAGTTTAGCGTGAGAAATTTTTATTGATGGAGTCTTTTTTTGGTGTAGAAGTCATGGTGGGGAAACCGTTAAAGCCAAAAATTCCGGACGACCGTATGCTGCACGTGTCCCAGATGGCCCTTCCCGCCGGTGCCCGTGACTCCGTAACCTTCCGCATCGTGCTAGACGGCAAATCCTTCACCATAGCCACCCTTGACCCGAAGCGAGGCGTTTACTTCACACGCTTAGACTTTGTGTTTAATCCAACGCAAAAGATTTTATTTTCGGCCGACGGGCCACTAGACAAAGGTAGCGTGCATATCACAGGTTTTACTCAAACCAGCGATGATATTGAGGAAGACGAAGAGGGTTTGGTAGATGAGTTTAACGACGTTCTGCTGACTCAAAGTCCTAACCGTGCTGAAAAGAAGACAACAGGGAAGGAAAAACAATTGAAAGCCGTTAATAGGGGTGATGTGAAGTTGAATACGAAACGTAAAAGCTAGTAGACTTGCGTGTTAAAAAAATTGATGCCTATACGTATTACACAAAATGAATGTCATCACATTTAAAGAGTCACAAATAATAATGAATGTACCCACTTTTTCATCTTGAATTTCATTTTTTTTCCAAGAACGACATGCTACCTTCGCATAATCTTGTTTTTTTTTCAACCATTACTTCCGCTTCCTTTTTTCCTCCTCCTTTGCCAATCACCCCTCCTCAATACCCTATGATAACACAGTAATAACATTTTCTTAAGCTTTAAGTTTTTTTTTTTTAAGATCTTTTTTTAATCTGCTCTAAACCATCTTTGGGTCGTT